TGAATAAATTGAATATATGCGGCACTATTAGAGGTATAAAATTATTTTCGAATATACAGGGTGTTAAATAACTTTAGTGTAAAACAAATTGGTGCTTTTTTAATGGATAAATGAATAAATTAGAGGTAGTTACATTCTAATTACTAATTGACAATTAATAATTAAGTCTATTTGCTATTAACAAGTGACAAGTTAAAATTAAAGTATTAAAATTTTTTGAATGATATTTTTGTCATTTACATTTAAAAATCTCTCAAAACTATTAACTTAAGGTTTAGACAATATTTAACTCATGTGAAGGTATGATATAATTGGAGTACTTTTGAATGGTGTATAAAGTAAAGGGTGGTCAATTTAAAATAAAAAATGAGAAAGTGATGTTTTCACATTGTTTCTTTTGCCATATACAGGTTATTTAAATCAATACGATTTTTATATAAAAGGGTATTTCACACACTATAATCCATTTTTATATAAAAATTATGATAATTTAATTTAATTCTCTCATTTCATAAAAAATTGCTTGGTAACCCTATAATATTTAAAAAAAGTCTAGGATTAAATACAGTATTACCAAACTATTTTAAAACTGAAATAAAATACAGTGTTCAATTTAAAAAATATATATTTTTATTTGCCAGGTAAAAACGTAACACCCTGTATATCCAAAAATATTTGTAAAATACGTATTTTTGAAATCCATATAATTTTTACTAGAAACTTGTTTGCGTGTCTATAACTCATATAGAAATATTAAACAATTACGCACTAATGTATATACAGGGTGTTTAAAAAAGGTATGTCATAAATTCGTCCTCAGATAGATTACCAAAAAATAAGTGGATTTGGCTATATTTACCTATATCAAAAACTGGCTCCCAACAAAGTTACAGGGTGTTAAACTAACATTCAGGAGTTATTGTACAAAAAACGCATATAAAAATCAGTGGTTTGTCTAGGGCTGTGCTTGAGCCGCCCCTGCAAAAACTACCTCTTTTATTTATATTTTTGTATTCAAGCAGACATGTTGAAGACATGTTGAACATTTACTAAATTAAATATATTATAAAATATGTATAATAATTATTGTCAAGTATTTATTTTTAATTTTTTGTTAATTGTTTAATTAAAAAATATTTTTTTTAATACTATAAAATGTAATAAATACATTCCCAAACTAACGTGTATTTTAGAACCCATGAGGCCGCGTGACACACTATTTTTATAGCGCCAATCCAATATTATAAATATCTTTTTTTACAAAAATATAAATAAAAGAGGTAGTTTTTGCAGGGGCGGCTCAAGCACAGCCCTAGACACACCACATATTTTTATATGCGTTTTTTGTACAATAACTCCTAACTTACTTTTAGTTTTGTTGATATGTTAAGTCCAGGATGGACGAATGCTCTAGAAATTCAGTTAAAAAATTGTAAATAGCTCGTTAACTAAGAAAGATTCAAAGTTCATTTTGCTATAAAAAAAATTAAAAATTCCTAGTTGTTTTTGATTTTAAGACCGATAAAGCAAGTTTCTTTATGTCAAAAAAAAAAATACGGGGGTTTAAAAGGTACCCAATCTCATAACTTTTTTTAAGGGTCTCGTTTTCATTTTTTTTTCTTCTTAGAATATTGGGCCTTCAAATCTACAGCATTGGTAAAAATTTCAAAGTAAAAATCGCAACAGCATACTTTTTACAAAAAAATTGTTTTTTTGAATGTTAGTTTAACGCTCTGTTATTTTGTTAGGAGCCACTTTTGATATAGGTAAATATAGCCAAATAACTTATTTTTTGGTAATCTATCTGAGGAAGAATTTATGACACACCTTTTTGAAACACCCTGTATATTATAAGTAATAAACGTCCTATGACTCCAATATGAATAAACTACAAGTACACCTATATTCAGTAAACTTAAAAAATGATTTATGGTATTTTGACACAGACTTTTTGACACCGGCTGTCGGCGGCTGTATGATATAGTTTGTATCTTAGAAACAATGGCCATCCTGTATAAGAGAAGTTAGATATTCCCTTAGATGCCATTTTCATTCACTTTCATTTTTCTTAAAATTAGTTAAGAGGCCAGTAGCATCTTCGTACTACTGAATAATCCATATGGTAATTATTTCTCTACAAGTTGCTTGTACAATTTGACATTTTTACGTAATAATTTCGTACCGTCCATTATGTAACAAAAACATGTTATTATTTCTGACAATAGGATTATTTTAATTACCTAACTGAAATGAATCCAACTACATCAACTGCAATAAAAAGCATAAGGACACTAAAAATGTAACAAGAAAACTACCAAGTACTAGCGAATCATATTACCATGTAGCGTCTAACTAAAACGATATGTAGCGTCTGACAAAAACGCTTTGGATTATATTGATTTTTTTTTTTGTTTTAAAATAATGTACATAATCTTTTTTTTTTGTTTTTCCACATCGAAAGTTAGTGGTAAATATAAAAAAAATGGATGATCAAATTCATCCAACTAGTCGCAATTTTCCGAAGAGAACTAAAAATGTATTGTTCTGAAAATTCCACACCTGTAATTTTGAACCAATCAAAATACGTGTTTTTGACAGATCACCATGGCAACGGAGGTATTTTAGTGGAAATTTTTTTCTCGTGGGGTACCCAACAGCGAATTATACTGGAAATTTTTTGACGTTTACAATAACAGACCATTTTTGACAGACTGGTTTTTATTTGTTCACATAATAGGTTTAGTTTTGATACATTTTAGTTACAATGCTAAGGTGTTTTCTATATTCTTCGGCCACTTCTTTTCTTCTTAATGGCGAAAATGCAGGACTTTGGATGCTTTGAATTATGTGTCTATGTCTAATAAAATATATATAATATTTAGACACTAATTTATTCACCTTTTTCCCATTCAGCACTTTGAATTTTGCGTAGTTTAGGTGCAAATATTCGTGGACAATTCGGAACAAATTTTCGTTTTTCAAGTTGGAGCCACAATCCTCTATTAATCCGAGTAAGTAAGTCATGGTGTAATGATTGATCATTACATCAGACAATTTCACGCATATTTTGCATAGCGTATGATTTTCAAATCGATTCATTTTTAAACAAATAGGTAATTTTGTTGGTTTTACTTGCTGTGCAATATTCTTTATCGCAACAAAACGCGAGTTATTTAATGTTTTGAACTGTCAAAATACAATGATCACAGCCTCCTACGATTGATGCTTGCTGACGCTGGTTATGAATTTCATACCATTTTAAAGCGCTCATAACGCATGTTAATAAAAACGCAGAAAAACAATTTTCTACCACTTGTAGTTATTCAAAACTTACGTAAAATTAAAGAATATACTATTTTCTATTTTCAAATGGTATTCCCATGCAACTACAATGAGTAGAAATAAGCAATTTGAAGGCCTAAATAATTGCAGCGAAACATTTTTTTACGTCGGGCCGCTTGACAACTTCAAAACTGAAATTATATTCGAGGTTAGGGTCTCACTTAGTTACCGTGACAACTCAACAATCAAGGCGACAACACCTTTTATGTTTCACTGGTGACTTGGAGAAAATAATTTGCATTGTTGAGAAACGAAAAATAAATTTTAAAAATATTTAATTTTCAACCATAATTCGGCGTGGAATTTTCTTACCGAATACCACGCGAGGTCAAATTAATATCAGGAAATTTTTTCTCGCTCATGAATATTTTTAGAAAATTTCCCTCGTCTGCGACTCGGGAAATTTTCAAAACATTCATGAGCTCGAAAAAATTTCCGGAAATAATTTGACCTCTAGTAATATTACTAGTGAAAATACATTAAAAAGCTTCAGTGAAGAAAGTTATAATGACAGCTTTAGTGACTATTATTGGTCAGAAATTGAAATTGAAGAGGGAAGACATAAACTAGAAACCGATGTTGTTTTCCCTATATTAATTTCTTTTTTATTTTTCTAATAAAAAAATTGAATTAAAAGTTTTTACTTGGTTTTTCGGAAAATGTGACAATAAAAATATGCAAGAGGTGACCCAAAACTTAATTATTTGCTATAATTTTTTACTAGTCTGTCCAAATTATCTAGATCTACTAAATTATTGGATTTGGACGTTAGTCAAATAATGAACGAAATTTTTCAGTGACAAAAAATAAAATAAATTTTTTTTTAGTTACATGTGATATATCATAAAAAAGCATCAATGAAATTCAGACTTTATTTGTCGTAATTATTGGCTGGCCTATGGAAGCATTAACTATATTTTTTATGGCATGAGTTACCACATTTATTGGTAGGCACTGAATGGGTTAAAAATAAAAATTTTTATGAGTAGTTTTATAAGTAAAAAGTTTCAAGGCAGAGTTATTTTCTAATTCAAATGTGTAAGGCTTACGAATGAGGAATATATACTGTACAGTTGGCAACATCTAAGGGAGGCTTGTTTCACATTATGTAACGCACATTTCCCTTTGAGGTTTAGTTTTGGTAGATGCTCATAAAAATTTTGGCGAACATATCGTAAATCAATGTTAGAGTGTTATTTCCTATCTCTGCTATTCACCTTTTGATATATTGTAATGCCTGTTGTGGTATTAGCTAAAAGAGTCGTTGTTTTCCAGAGCGAAATTGTCGCTTGTTGTTTCTGTTACACAGACTTAAGTTTTTCTCATTTCTTTCATTATTTATTTTTAAATTGAATCTCATTTGAGAATTGGAATTATTTTCTTAAATACTATAAAATGCTTGAGGTATAGTGGCCATGAGATAATTTAAATCCTATGATTGGTTATCAAGATTAAACTTAAAAAATACCACTTTTTATTCCAGTAGTAACCTAATTGGTAGTAATTTCTTGTGGCTAATTTTATTGTAACAACTTTTGGAATTAAATTGTTACAAAAAGGGTGGGTCGCAAATAAGTAGGAACATATTTTTGATATACCACATTTGATTTATGGATAACCTTTTAATTCTTAATTATAAGAGTGTTTAAAATGCTTACCCTTTCGATAATACAAACGAGATCGATAATACTACCAATATCTACATGATGTTCTCCTGATCTTATACCCTGTATGGTGGCTTCAGGAACCACAATTTGTAGATTCACAAAATGGGAAATGAGACCTTGACCAGTTGATACCTGAAATAAAAAACAAATTTTAAGAAGAGTAATATTTTTCTATACCCCACATGCACATATAGAACAAATAAGTCTACTGAACGGATATAATTTCATATCCATTCTAGCAGAAGAATTGATAAGTAATGGCAATCCGCTAGATATTTTATATTTATAAAACAACTATAAATTTTAATAGAATTTTCTTAAACCAATTCAATTACAAATTTAAGTGAAGCGTTCCCTTTTCAAGAACCGGGATTCAAATCCCGGATAAGGCCAATTTTATCAGATTTATTTTATTTCATTATTAGTAAAATTCACAATTTTTATGTTAATTATTTTTAATATAGTTAATTTATCTGTGTGTGTGTGTAAATGGATTTTATGACTGCGGATATAATCCATTAGCCTATTATATATTTATATTTTATTGATACAAGTTAAAATGAGATAATAATTTTATCTTTATAAGCTCTAAACTTTTGTAAATTTAGTGCGTTCTAGAAAAATATACAACTCAAAGGAATAGTCCGTATCGTATTCACTCGTATCCATCATAATATCTATTCTTGTTTTACATATTACTATTTTTCTAATTCAAACAGTTTCGATTTATTTCTACATTTAAGCCCTTTCAAAATGAATTTTTCTATATTACGAAAGGCGAATAAATGACCTAACATTTTCAAACCAAATATCTCTTCGAGGATTTGGATGTCATTAATATTTAGTGATCCATTATTATTATTAGGTAGGTTAGAGGCATAAAACGTTAAGGGTAAGTAATGCAATTTGTTTGGATTAATCGTTAAGAGCGTTATCCAGTACGCTTCTAACCTAGATTTTAAATCTGCTAAATAATACGCGACGCAGTACCTCTCAGTCCAATTTGGCAACGTCGCGCGCTCGATGTCTGTAGGATCTTTCTCTGAGAGATATTCAAGTCGGATTCGGGTGTGCGTTTTAGTTTTTAGTAGAGCAAACTTTAGTACAAAAGTCGCTTATTGCTCAAGATGATAAAAATTGTCGCAAAAGCAAATCAGACCCTATAGGTATTATGTAAATAAATAGTATATAAAACGGCCACTTAGACATTTTTCAGTACATATGTAGGTCAGACATTTTTTATGACGAGAAAAACACAAAAATCAGCAATTATTAAATATTACTCTTATTTACATCCCCGTAGATTGTAAATTAATCGAGCTATCGACTTGATTTATTTATGATAAAGTAGAAATATGACCGCAAATTTCAGAAAATATAAAATAATAGCATGCACCAAAAACATAAAATATATAGATTTATTTATTTAACATATTTTTTTTAACCATGACTTTACTTCTCACAATGTATTGCTATAAAAAATTAAAATGAATTTGTATGCATAACATTTATTACAATTCATACTACTCATTATTGAGCATCATTTCGAGGAGGGTTTCGTATTTCTAACACCCTTATAAACGATAGTCAAATATTTCTGGGAGAACACAATAATTCATATAGAAACACTGGAGTTTTCTTTACATTGTGTTATGCCAGAAATTATTGTCTCGTTCAATTTTTTCCACTAAAAAACCCAGAGGAGTTCAAATCACGAAAAATCAATATTGCCTTTTTGTTATGTGAAGCAGGACCTCGACCTGGTAGAAATAGTTGTGGTTTTGTTTCAAATGTATATTATTATTATTATTTTTTTTTGTGTCTTCGGCATATTATTATTGTCGTCAATTATTACATATTTTATAATTTTTTGCCATATTGCATCTTGCGATGTTAACTTTGAAGCAGAAGCAGGGTATTTAATTTCAATTATACAATCAGTTCCTACCAGGCCATTGGGGCTAGCCCCCAAAATAGCATAAATCCAGATCGACCAACAAAACCACAATTTTCGACATGAATAATAAATTTATCTGAAAATTAACTCAGTGCTATTTGTTCTTTTTCTAAGCCATATCTTGTATGTTCATTTCCCATATGCGTGGAATAAACCAAATGTTTTATAAAATTTGTTTTTAGTCGCATTTTACAATTAGTACCAAAATTATGTGTACACTTCTAGCTTGTTTCCATGTAGGATTTTCTCCTTGCCCTCTGGTCTCTTTTTCAATTAATTCTATTTCAAGAGAGTTTCTTGTAATTATTTTAAAAATATTTCTTTTTTATTTTAATACTCCTTATCATTTAAATCGGGTATTATATTTTTGGACTTAATATAAAGCCGTAATTATTAAAATAGCAAAGTACTTTGGGATATAAAAATGATTGAAAAATATGTTTACGATATCTCCTCTCCTCTCCTGTTCGTACCGAAGGATGGGTGCTGTTGTCTTTCTCGTCTACCTAGTATTGAAATCTCGTCTACCTAGTATTGAAATTTGGCAAGATACGGAATAAGTGTTCACATATGATCGAACTGAAATTTGGGTGCGAAGAGGGAAATTTTATTACATGAAATAATTTTGTTTTCAATAAAGAATATGCAATGTTTCAATATATTTAAAACATAGTTTGATTAGAAAAAATTAGGTAGAAGAATTATATTTGTATAGTAGGTATATATTATATTTTCTAAAATAATTCATTTTGCAAAGAATATCAACTAAGCTACTAATATAATAAAATCTATATAAATCAGCCTTATAAATAATGTATTTAACAAATGTTTCATAATATATTAATAATTTACATGTTTTCTGCGTGAAACGTGGAGAAAATATATTATTTTACACCATTTAACGTATAATAGTATTTTGCAATTTTTACAATACTTACGAATGCCTTTTATTCGTAACTTATGCTATTGGTTAAAGAGAATGAAATTCAGAATTATTTCGGTCTATATATATTGACTGAAACTCAAAAATATATTCTTATAGTAATAATATTTTAAAAACTGAGGGAACAGATCCGAAGTGTTTTGTTACTATCCGGCTTTGATTGGTCCGAATTTCATGATGGCTGGCCGTTGAATGATGTTATCATATTTTGTTTTTGCTAACTTCGAGATATAAATACATATTTTCTCTTTTTGATGTCAACGATTTTAAAAAGAGTTTTTGCTTTTAAAATAAGTGAATATTATAGAAGGACAAACAAACGCCATAATTGGCGTAATATATTATGAACCTTGTACATCAAATATTTTTTTCATTTTTAGATAGGATGTAAATGTATCACAAATTATAAAATAATTTAATTTTGTTTTTGTGAAGAGTAGGGCGTTTCACTAAACAGCTCGATATTATTTTTTACAAGGTAGGCATAAGAAATGTATTTAAAATGATCGGTTATTATGTTTTTGTAACTTAATTGGACCCAATACTATAAATAAATTAGTCACAGAAGACCTGCAAATAAATATAGATATAGCGTTTTAACAATATCTACATTAAAATCAAAAATATTGATAAAATTTTTTTTAGAATAAATAGCGGCTTTGTCGAAACATCTTACTATTAATGTTATTTGATTTTTTGGAGGTAATTATTTTTGTTTTTAATTTTTTAATTTTTGAATAGTTTCTAAGATGTAATCAGGTTCTCTTAATGACATTCCCCGATTATGTCTTGGATCTACCAATTCTGGCAACATACAGTTTATATAAAACTTTTTTAACTTCTCCATATTTTTACACCAGAAATCGTCTCTTTTTATTATATATACTGGGACCTGTCCATACACCAAAAATACATCCTTTTCATCCTGTAATATGTAATTGGCCTTGTATTTGATAATACCATTGATGGTGGATATTAATGTCAAAATTATTTATGTCTTTATTAAAAATCCAAAAGGATATTTTTTTTTCAATTTAATCGCCCCTTCTATCTGCATTTGACATGCAGCGTATGGACATTTTATTTCAACCACTAATTCATCTTCTACAATGCCGTCTGGAGTAGCATCTACAAATTTAAAAATTATTATTTTGATTTAAAATGAGCTAATTTGCAATATGTAATAGTTGAGATGTGAGTAAAGATGTGAACTGATCGTTACGTACCTAAATATGGATATTTTTTGTCAATAAAAATTCCACAATCTCTAATCACTATATTTTCCTGCTCTTGAAGCTACAAAAGTACCGTTTTTTTCATACTTTTTGCCATGAGAAGTAGGAGCAGCATTGACTGGTGGTTGGTAAATAATCCTTTTGACTAAAGACTCACATAAAATAGTAATTCGTCTAGTACACACTGCTTTAAAGTGTGAGGCCGTAATCATGTTTCTACTAATTTTATGCCAAACCCTGCTATCCGCATGTGACATAGTTTGTTCCTGAATTACATTTTTCATGGGAGGGAGGTTTGAGAACTATGGGGGGGTTCCATCAAAAAAGTTAATATAACCAAACAGTTAATAGTGATCAGCGCCAATACTATATAGCGGAAATAGTGACATGAGGACCCTCTATGGGGGGGGTTCTGACCCCCAAAACTCCCCCGTGATTACGCCACTAAACACACTACCACCAACAACGATAACATAATTTTTTTAAACTCTGTCACTCTTTTGTAAATGAAAGTACTATCTATTTATCTATGAACTAAACATAAATGTAAAATTAATGTGGTTATGAGACGCATTTAGTATTTCCCCTCCACCGGTCAATCGGGGCATAATTCGCATTTTTAACGCGTTTCAACTAGTTTTTACACGCTTGATCAACAGTTTATCACTCTTGTGATTATTTTGCCTTTTGCCAAAATATTTTTTAGACTGATATAGGTTTATTTTTTGAAATTTAATTGTTTTCCTATAGGTATATTTTTCGTAGACATTTTTAATAAAATATTTTATGAAATAATGTTTTCATTTAATAAATATAATATCGTCTTTATTATTTCAAATCAAAAGTTCACATATATATTCGTACAATAGAAATAAATTAACATTTGAAATAAAGGGCGAAGTTCATTTTGCATTCCTACGAATGCAAAAAATGTTTTTCCACTTAACCCTAAAAAAGAAAAAGAAAATATTTTAATTAATGAAATATTTAATATTTA